TCCCTAACCCTAACCCTAAAAGTGGACTCAATTTGCACTATTTCTCAGAGGTCCAACAAGATCTCTATATCTATTGTTGTGTGCCTTCAAGTTGTTTCCAGAGAGGAGGAGCTACATTACAACCTTCTGTCCAGGAAGAATGTCAAAATCTCCTCCATTTTGAGCATAACTAAGAAGCATGGATTTATATTATTATTATTTTTTAAAAAATAGTTTTTGGCTTTTAGTTGTTTGTGTCCTCCATTTTTATTGACTGTCCTACATTTGTCCCACATTTGTCCTACATTTTGGCTTACATTTTTGTCCTACATTTTTTCTACATTTTGTCCCAGTTTGGTGGTAGAGAATTATGGCAATCCTAGGTGCATGCTACAACTATTAGGAGGTATTTGAAAAAGTAATTGCAGCAAATGTTCTTCAGATACTATGCTTTTGTTTCGTCTTCTCTTCCTGAGATTTTTTTTTATTCTACCCTACTAAAATTCATTTCCCCACTCTCCCTCCCTACATTTTGTACAATTTACTCTATGACTCCTTGAACCCAGTACCAGCTTAACCTGGGTCCCATGTTTTCCACTCTTATTGCAATCCCTGCCAAAAAGAAAACGCACACGCAGACACTTTTCCAATTTGAATCTTAGAAGCCAGGGTATGTATGCAAATATCCTTTAATAATTTGCTCGGAGCAGCAAAACATTTCCTTGGCACACCAAAGGCACACGTGACTAGTTAAGAGGTTAGTGCTCTATTGATTAAAAACTGACTAAAGAGAATAAAACGGTGGACTGCAAGTGAGGAAGGAATTGTTGCACTTTTGAACACTCCTCTTAAAGGCAGCTCCTTTTTGTTTCACAGGGAAGGGTCTGCAAAAATGGATCGAGAGCCATATGTGACCTACTGGCCATATTTCATCCATTCTTGATACATACTCTCCAGCTGTCCTGATTTGACAGAGGCAGTAAGGATTAAGAAAGGTGTCATCCCACTTTTCTTCAGAGGCTTTTAAAATGTCCCAGTTTCTCTCAGATTTGAAGTACCGTAGTAACCGTGACATCAAAAATACTAATGTTAAAAGTTCAGGGCTTTTTTGGTTGGTTGGTTGATTTTTACCCCCATATCTTGTTTCAGGAATATGTAAAATCAGCATGGTGTTGTGGCTTTAGCATTGGACTATGACTCTGAAGATCAGAGTTTGATTCCCTGCTTGAGCACAAAAACCCAATGGATGATCTTGGGCAAGTCGCTCTTTCACAGCTTCAGAGGATGGCAATGACAAACTCCCTCTGAAGAAACTTCCGAAGAAAACCCTA